TTTTCGTCGCGCTGTGATGACGTCAAATGCGCGATTTTGTCGATCGCGCTTTTGTGGTCCGCGGTTTTGACGGGTCACGAGCTGAAATAAGATCATAAGCAGTTTTGGTTTCACTTAGTGGCCACTTTGCTAAACGACCAAGTTCCCAGTTCCAATTGTGATCGCTTAGTGAGGACTCTCTCTATTTTGGGTATAAGATTAATCTTACGGCAACTCTTCATCTGCCAGTGGGACTGCATTTGCTCCCCTGAGGAAGCACTCAAAGTATAAAGTTTATCAGAAAAGGTTGCACTGCATGTGACTAAGTCTCTAAGGAAGATCTATGTCTGTTTCCAGCCATCTTCTAAAATTTAAAATGGTGCACACACACGAAAGATGTGGCTGTTAAGTGAGTCGTGCCCGATTTTACAACCTATTTTGCCACAATCATTAAGTTTCCCTTTGACTTGGGCTTTTCCAAAGCCAGCTATGAAGGTTGCAAATGGTGACATTACCCTAGGAGGCCTAGAACCACTGTAATCCATGCTGGTCGCCAAGCACATGCATGTTGTGGTTCTGGGGACATTGAAAACATTGTAAGCGTGAGAACCGATTGCAAGACACTTTCTTCAGCACTGTCATAATTTTAAATGGTCACTGAACAAATGGTCGTAAGACAAGGATGCGCTCTCTTCTAAGCTTCTTTTTAAAATATGGCATCACTTGTGGCATATAAACGCTGAAATGCTGAACTCTGGAATGTGTAGCAGGCTTTCCAACCAGTGGTAGGGTTCTGTGAGTGTGGCTTGGTGGGCGTGACCAACTCAATGTTACTTCCACCCAGTCACTTGATACCAGGGGTGGGTTTCTCGCCCCGTTCCAACCGGTCCGGCGTCCTCGTGCATGCGCGCAGTGCACGCATGCGTACTAGTGCCTGTGCGATGCTCCAGTTGCTCCTGGAGGATCGCGCAGGCGCTGTAATGCGTTCTGCACATGCGTGGAAGCGCAGAACTCGTCAAAACCAGGTAAGAAACGCGGGCGGGCGGGTGGATCCTTCGGCGTTCCCGGAAGTTACTTACCTCCGGGTTCCGGGACCGCCGCGAACCGCCTGAAACCCACCCCTGCTTGATACCCTCCCCCAGCCACACCTACCCAGGTTTTGTGACTCCCTGTGTTTTCTGTGGGAAATGAGTCATGTGACTCAGTGGGCGTGGCCAACTTGATTGGTCTCATCCTTAGGAAATTTCTCCTTAGTCCAAGTCACAATAAAATAGCCCTGTTCCAATGTTTAGACTAGAATAACAGAGTTGGAAAGGACCTTGGAGGTCTTCTAATCCAACTCCCTACTTAGGCAGGAAAATTTCCAGTGTTGGAACATTTATAACTTCTGGAGACAAATTGTTCCACTGATTAATTGTTCTGTCAGGAAATTTGAGGGAATCCTACAAAAATGAGATAGTCAATCTATTTTCCAAAGCACCAAAAGGCACAAAAAGAAACAATGCATGGAAACTAACCAAAGAGAGAACAATGTAGGACTAAGAAGAAATTTCCTAAGGTGAGACCAATGCAGTGCAACCGGTACGGTGCAACGGGGCCAGGAGCCCACCATGTGCATGCGCACAGCACACACATGCGTACCCACCACCTGTGACATTCCAGCTGCTCGGTGGAGCATTGTGCAGGCGCCGTACACTCCGTGCACGTGCTCAAATGCCCTGATCGGCTCAAATAGCGGTAAGGAGAATGGGCAGACGGGTGCGCCCTCCGGAGCACTGTATCAGAATGGCATCTGGTGCTCCCAGCAGACACCAGTACGCCCGTACTGGGGCATACCGATCGTATCCCACTACTGGACCAATGGAATGGCTTGCCTTCAGACGTTGTGGGTGATCCATCACTAGAGGCTTTCAAAAAGAGTGAGGGAAGTGCACCTCAAAAGGACAATGCCAGGCACCACTAAAACAATGCAGAAAACGCATAACAGCCATTCCTCTTAAAAAAAAAAAAAGTCAACCCCAAAGCAAACACAGCAGCTGAGAGGGAAACTGAGAGCAGCCGCTCAAGCTAATTGAAAGCCTGGGTGTGCTGCCAAAAGATATTAACCCTTCCAACTCCATTATTCTATGTTCTCTATGTTCTAAATTGGGTGCTTCACAGCACAAGCAGTACAGCTGGATGGACCACACATGCATTAAATTCACAGCCTGTATGATCAAAATGCTTCATTGTCCCTTCCTGTATCTCCCCCCACACCCCAGGAAGAAGCAAGAAGTAGCCAACACTGCAGCATTTGTAAAAGGTCTTGGGGAACTCCAGGGTGTATCAGCTGATCACAGAAGTGTTACTTAATACTCTTCATAATGAAAATGTTTGTAATCTTGTCCTTCTTCCTGAAGGGAGGACGTTAAGCCCATCCCTAGATGAGTGATTGATGGGTTTCCCTGCCCCAATCCTGTCAGTTCCTGTTGTTTATTGACTTGATTCAGCCTGTATTCCAGCTACAACTGTTAAGTGGAGCTATTAACTAAAGGGAGAGAGAATAAAATAAAATAAAAACACCTCGTACCGGTTCTCCAAACTGCATAAGCAATTATCTAATGGTTCAGGAGAACAGTTGAATCCCAACTGTGTTTCCTCCGCTCACAAATTGGCCATAAAGGATTGAGGGCTATAATGCATCATAGCTGGCTGTGGAAGTTGAAGTCCACACATCTTAAACTTACAGAGGTTGAGAAATACTTCTATACTTCTATTAACGCATTATCAGAAAGTAAGATTTCCCTTTTAAAATTGAATTTTCTTCACAGGTGGAAATGGGAGCATTCCCAAGGAATCCATGATCAGTGCTGTTTTAATTAACAAGACCACGAGGAAAGCATTGAAAGGAAGAGAGATCAAAGTGGATTTGCCCTGCCAGGGAAATGGACAAGACAGCTCACCATGGCGGATACATCTTGGTATCCACCGTCTGGCACGTCACCAGGGACAGCCTTGTGATGGCATCCAAAACCAGACTGAACATAGCATGTGGTCTTGTGAGGAGTCATTAGACAGCACTGAACCGGCCATTGCATTCGCCATCAAAGAGGAAAATCCATGCCCTCCTGAAGAGATGGTCAGTTCCAACTCAACTCGGACATCAGTAACTTCCATTTGGGCTTATTCCAGCCTCAACATCTCAGCTTCAAAACCAACATCTACTAAGCTATCTTATTACCCTTTCCCTCAGAAGAAAAACCCCAAGATTTCTGAAGCTGCAAGGAAACTGGGGTTATATGTCTCCCAATGAGAATTGTGTAATAGAAGACAGTGGTAGGCCTATCACTACAGGTAAAGTAGATACAGAAAGCTTCTTTTTTCCTCATGCACAGGTATAATTTGCCTGAAATATACAGGTAGCGTTTCTGTTCCTGTGAACATGAGAACTGATGGACTCACATGTACTATTTTAAATCAATGTTTCTGTAAGGCAGTGTTTCCCAACCTTGGCCAACCTTTAAGAGGGGTGGACTTCAACTCCCAGAATTATCAGATTAACAGAGTTGGAAGGAACCTTCTAGGTCATCTACTCCAGCACCTCGCCTCCCCGCTCAAGGAGGAGACCCTACATCATTTCTCACAAACCCCCATACTGGCTGAGGATGTCTGGGAATTGAAGTCTATCTCTTTTAAAGTGGCAAAGATTAGGAATCATTGCTCTAGGACAGTGGTTTCAAACTCAAGGCCCTGGGGATAGTTCCAGCCCACGGGGTGCTTAGATGTGCCCCATTGGGCCACTCTGGGGCACATCTAAGTGAAGGACAAGCCCGTGGTGTGTCTGCCAGTGAAAACAGAGCTCGGGAGGGCAGAGTGCTCGGACCATCAAAAGTGCCCCCAACACGAGTGATGTTGAGCCGGCCACATCCCCTGCCCATCCTCAAAAGCCAAACTCAACTCTGATGCGGTCCTCAATGAAATTGAGTTTGACACCCCTGCTCAAGGAGTTATGTTTGCAATTTTAAGGAAAGATTATGTAGAACAGGGATGTCCAACCTTGGCAACTTAGGCTGGCTGGGAGAATTTTGGAAGTTGAAGTCCACAAGTCTTAAAGTTGCCAAGGTTGGATGCCGCTAATGTAGAATTGCAGCTACTTCCACACTTCTGCTTCTCACATAGAGTGAGAGAATGCTAAAATTAGGTACGTTTGCTGATGAAGGAATGTTCTGTTTTTTTGTTTTTGCTCAGCCAGCCCAACATTCTTCATCAGAAGAAAAGGGAATTTTTCTCCCCTAATTCCTCAGTGAAAATAGGAGGGAAATGCAATAAGTAAATCGCAGGTCACCTTGTGGCAGAGATATCAAGCATTGAGATTTCCCTCCCAGGTTGGAAATGATTTGAATTACACTGCTCCAGATTGAAACCAGATGCTTGAATGTGTTGTATTTTAATGTCAACCTACTAGCTATATTTTCTTAAAATGTATTTTGAGTGAATAACACTCTAGACTAGCATAAACTTCACTGTGAAGAGAAAACAAAACTGTCCTGTAGAAATCCAGGAGTGAAACCCAGCAGGTTCTGACAGGTTCTGGAGAACCGGTTCTGGAGAAATTTTGAGTAGTTCGGAGGGAACTGGTAAATGCCATCTCTGACTGGCCCTGACCCCATCTATTCTCTGCCTCCCGAGTCCCAGCTGATCAGAAGGGAATGGAGATTTTACAGTATTCTTCCCCTGCCACACCCACCAAGCCACACCCACAGAACTGGTAATTAAAAAAAAATTGTATTTCACCACTGTTCTTAATGGTTAACAACTGTCCCTATACAGATAGTCCTTTTCTTACAATCGTTCAGCAACTGTTTAGCAACTGTTCAAAGATACAACAGCACTGAAAAAAGTGACTTACAACCAGTCCTTGTGCTTACAGCTGCTCCAGCATCCTCTCCCAGTCACTTAATCAAAATTTGGCTGCCTGGCAACCCATTTGTATTTAGGGTGGTTCCAATGTCCCAGGCTTACCATGTTTCCCCAAAAATAAGACAGGGTCTTATTTTCTTTTAGCCCCCGAAATAAGCACGTGGCCTTATTTTCAGGGAGGTCTTATTATTTTTGAGGTGCAGGAGGCGGTGAGCGTGGTCGCTTCATGGTCGCTGCCGTGTTGCAATATTTTCAGGGAGGGCTTATTTTTGGAGGGTGGGGCTTATTTTAGTGCATGCGCTCAAAGCCTGATTGGGCTTATTATCCGGGGAGGTCTTATTTTCGGGGAAACAGGGTACGTGAATGTCATTTGTGACCTTCCCAACAAGCTTGAGAGAAGCAAAGCCAACTGGGGAACCAGATTTGCTTAATAGCCATATGAATCACTTAACAACTGCAGTGATTCACTTAATAACTGTGGCAAAAAGGTCATAAAACTGGCTATGAGCCTCTTAACAACCGCCTTGCTCAGCAAATTATGGTCAATTGCGATTGTAAGTCAAGAACTATTTCCATTTATTCCAGGTCAGTAAGTTTATTTCCTCATTTAAAAAGGAGGAGGTTTGGAGGGTTATTCCAAATATTCCTAAACACCTCTTTATTCCTTTTAAGAATAAATGAAATGCATTTTAAAAAAAACATTAAGTGACTTGAACAGTCTTTCCTTTCAAAGAATTATCTTTAGGAAGCAGGATACTCTTCCCATTGTGCTGTATAATCACAAAAACATCTATCATAAATATCAGCCTTTCCAAAATTATTAATGTAGCTCAACTGAGGTAAATATAGGCCTCAATGCATGCAAGGCAATCACATACATTCTTAGCTGAAAATGAGTCCAATTAACTTTAGTAGGTCTTATTTCTCAATAGACACAAAACAAGGGGAATTTTAAATAGCTGTCTGAATTGGCAATTTGTGATATTCCATCTAGAAATCAATAAAAAGAATACATTTGTTGAATTCAATGTATTTTTTTTTCCAGGATATACACTCCAAAATTAACTGATAAACCTTGAAATGATCTTTCTGCTATCATTAAACACAGCAAATATTTTATATTCCAGATTTGCTTTCTGCACATTACATTCTCATTTGCAAGTCAGAAAAGGGAAACGTTTTTGGATCCTGAATGAGATTAGTAACTATGACATACAGCTTTCTATGCATGTATTATGATTTCTTTCATCATACATATATTATTTTGCAAATAAGATAAATTAGGAATAAAATTTTACATTGTATCCAGATCCTTTGTTGGGTTTGCATTCATGATCTATAGAAATTCCAGTTTACCAAGATAGAGGTAACGTGCATAGAGGCAATCATGGCTTAATGATTGGTTGCTTAGCAATCGACATTACAACAGCCACACAAACGGAACTTGTGATCCAATTCCAGAATTTCAATGACTGCACATCTTTCCCCCTCAGTCCCATGACTGCACCAGCAACCAATGTCACTACTGATAGTTGACTTACAACAGTTCACTTAAGTGATCATTCAAAGTTACAACGGCACTGAAAAAGTAACTTAATGTTTTCACACTTATGACCTTTGCAGCATCCCCATGGTCACATGATTAAAATTCAAATGTGTGGCAACTGGTTCTTATTTATAATAGTTGCAATGTCCTGAGGTCATATAGTCCCTTTTTGAGACTTGGGGAAGTCAGATTCATTTATAACAATCATGTTGCTAATTTAACTGTAGTGATTCACTTAACAGCTGTGTCCAAAAAAGTCATAAAATGGGGCAAAACTCACTTAAGAACTAAGATGCTTAGCAACCAAAATTTTGGACTCAATATGTCACAAGTCGAATATTATGTGTATAGTCAATTGCAGACTTCTGAATCCATTGAATTGCTTCATCACGATGTTCATTTTATGATGTGGCATTTGCTTATCAACAATGCAAAAAAGGTTGTAAGAGCAAGTTGGTTACATGAATGACTCAATTTATTACCATCTTGAGTTACAAAAGAAATTCCAGACTCCTTTACAGTCATAAGTCAAGGATTAGCTGTATTGCAGAAAATACCAGCATCTAACTGACCTGGGAAAAAAGCAAAGCAAATTATGTTTAGAATTTGAATGGGAGACCATCAGGAAATATTCAGATTGAAGACTGCACTGAAAGTTAAAACAAAGTCAGTGGTAGATCATTTCTTTATTCCTGCTAAGTTACTATATCTATTAAGATACATGTTGATGGTTCCTGCAAGACCCAATCTATTATGGGCCAATGGCAATGACAGCTCCCTTGAAATGAAGATTAGTGAGCAGAGACCGATTTTAGGCATGCAATGAAAGGAGAGGATGGACTGAACCAAAAATTGGCCTGGTTGGGAAACCAGGGGGGAGGATTATGGGGACACAGAGAGGATGGAGGAGAGATTTCAAAGAGTAATCTGGAAGGACTGCAAATTTTCGCCAGTATCAAGTTCGAAGAAGGAGCACCCATATCCCCAGGAACAAGACAGACTCTAAACAAACAAAAGAAAGTTTGTTTGGGGGTCTTTTTGTTTTTTATTTAGAATAGAATAGAAAAATAGAATAGAGAATAGAATAGAAAAGAATAGAATAGAGAAAAGAATACTTTATTGTCACTTTTGAAGGTACACTAATCAGCATACATTAAAATGAAATAACGTTGCATAAAGCTGTCAAAGGCTCTCCACCTCTAATATAAACATAAACACGACAAGATAAATTTGGTGTCTCCTCTTTGGGTTTTTTTTTGGGGGGGGGGGGTGTCTTTGTTTTCTCCCTTCTTCCACGTTACTGGAGAGGGAGGCTTCCTGCAGCCCCAGGCTCTCTTTTGAGGAAGCCATCCATTGCTTTAAAAGGAGCCCGCCGGCAGTCCGATCCCAAATGCAAGGACTGCACTGCACGACAGGACCACTAGAGGGCCGCATCCGTCTGCAAATTGTTTCCGAAAGCGTTTCTTTAAACCGAACAGCCCGGGGAGGGAGGGAGGGAGTCAGGAAAGCCAGGCCCGCCCCCTCTGTCACGCGCGCGCATGCCCACTCCGATGTTCGACGACAGGAGCCAAAATGGCGGCGGGAGGTCGCCCGGCCTTGGGTCACGTGCCCCGATCCTTGCTCCGCCCCCCCCATCGGCCGGGCGGAGTTCCTCCGTCAGCGCAGGAGTGTTCTCTCGCTTTCGTTTCTGACGTCCACCGGAGCCATTCGAAGTTTTTTCTTCCCCCCTCACACGCCCTCCTTCGCCAGGGCCGCGCGACGGGGAACAGCTCGCGAAGGTGAGTGGAGTGTGTGGCGCCCGCGGGCGACCGTCTGGGCGTTTGGGGCTCCGTCGTCTTCCTCTCTCAGGGACGGCGGGGATCGGCCGCTGACAGAGATCGCCGGCCGGCGTCTCTCTCTCCCCCTCTCTTAGCGAGGGGGATCGGCAAGCGGGCTGGAGATCTTTGAGGGAGGGGTGCGAGGTAAGGGTCCTTACCTCAGAAGGGCTCCCTCTTTGTCTCACCTGAGCCTCCTCCAAGTGAGCTGGGTTCTAACACCTGCCATCTTGGGGGTTGGGAGCCGGCACCTACTCCCCAAGATAACCGTGCCGTATGAGGAGGCGCGTGACGTCACAGCATGAAGGACCGACGCTCGCGTCGTGACGTCACAGTGCAAGCCCCACCCACACTTTGCGCCGTGATGTCACCGGGCAAGCCCCGCCCCCTTTGAACTGACACTGCCCTCGGGACAAACGCCGCCCCTTTGGAATTTCAGCTCAGCCTCCCTTCACAAGTGGGAGGGGTGGACTTCAACTCCCAGCATCCCCCCCAACCAGCGCATGCTGGCTGGGGAATGCTGGGAATTGAAGTCCACCCCCTCATAAAGATGCTGAGGTTGAATAAAGATGCTGAGGTTGAGAAGTTGACCAAGGAGAGATTCAACCTAGAAATAAGGAGACATTTTCTGACAGAATAATCAACCCATGGAACAGAAGTTGCCTTTTGGAAGTTGTGGGAGCTTCATCACTGGAGGCTTTCAAGGGGAGATTGGACTGCCATTTGCCAGAAATGGTGTAGGGTCTCCCACTTGGACTGGGGTTGGACTAGATGACCTACAGGGTCCCTTCCAACTCTGTTAACCTGAATCTAAGATGATCAAACACTGCCTTCATCGCATCTTTTTTGTCACTTGTTTGGCCCCTCCCCCCCTCCATACACCCCCAATTTGCCTATGTAAACCATCCGATATAATTTTGGGGATTTGTTTCTGCTTGTGGCGTTGCTGCAAGCAAACAAGCTAAAACCCTCTAAAACATCTTAACCAAATCAAACCAAGTCAATATTTTATTTATTTATTTAATTTACACACACACACACACACACACACACAGAGCTGCCCATCTCACAACAAAATCCTTTTTGCTTGGTCTTTTTTTCCTGGGGTTACCGTTTTTTATAAAAGCATTAAGGATATTGATAATTAGAGCCAAGGTGGCGCAGTGGTGAGAGTGCAGTACTGCAGGCTACTTCTGCTGACTGCCAGCAGCCGGCAGTTTACCAGTTTGAGTCTCACCAGGCTCAAGGTTGACTCAGCCTCTCATCCTTCCAAGGTGGGTAAAATGAGGGCCCAGATTGTTGGGGGCAAGAGTCTGACTCTAAACCTCTTACAGAGGGGCTGTAAAGCACTGTGAAGCGGTATTG